GTAGCATCAGCACCAGCTGACAGCCTGTCAGAAATGCAGAATCTCAGGCCCCTCTCCATACCTACCCTGCCGGAATCTGAAATTTACAAGATTTCCTGGGTTCCTCTAGCACACTCTGATATGCTGTAAATCAGGGATTAAAAACACAAATACTTTATTGGGCTAGGCATATCTCCAAAGTGAATGAAACAAATATATAATGTATATAATGATAATAAATATAACCTATAACATATTATCATGATATGTATATAATCGTGATTATATACATAATCACGATAATAGGTAACCCCTGACCTTTGGCCTCCTCATAGGAGTGGTAGGGACTGTGTTTACTTGGAGATCTTTAGCTTCATCTAAAAGGCATAAGCTACTGTCCAGAGTCACATAACTGCAAGGTTAGTGTTGGAAGATCTTTGAACAGTTCAAGAGAAACCAGAAATACAAGCCTGCATGTATAATCTGTGTACTTAGACACTGATAACTAAATTCAATTCTTTTTAAAGCAAGAGAAATATGAGGATCAAATAGAACTCACCTGTGTGAAAACTCTACTTGAAGGATCTTCAGTTTTCAAAATCTCATACAAAGAAGGATATCTTTTAGGCATTCAGTTAATACTTCCTAAGGCTTCACTAATTCAGAATTCTTTAATTTTACAAGTCAGGAAACTGTTTCTTTTCTTTAGCCATCTAATTCTTCTTTTCTCTTATTAATTTGTTTATTCAATACTCATTCAGTGTCCACTCTGTGCTGGTTGGGTCCTATGCTAAGTACAGAACAACTAACAATAAGTTAGTTTTAGTTAGTTATAATCTATGACTTCCAATGGCATCTAGTCTCATAATGACAACATTATATTTATGAAACAGGTTTGATGTGGGTATTGCTACAATAATTTGTAATGTCTGCTTTTGAGGGATAGTATTGAGAAGGTTATGCTCGATCTTAGTAGTTCACAAATCTAAGTGGAGAGACAGAAGCAGAAGGTACAGATGACTGAAGACAAATGGTGTGAAGGAGGTTGACAAGAGGATGTAGTTGAACATAAAAGCAATCCCAAAGAAGTGAATTCTGGATGGAATGTATGGCACCCGTGGTGATTTTAAAATGTTAAGACTTCCTGTAACACTCCCTCAGCTTCATAATTTCTGGCACTACAGAAAACATACTTTATCTCCACTCAAGAAGGGAGAACTGTTTCACAAAAGCTAACGCTCTGAATTCCATTTCTTGTGTACATTAAAGACTTAATTGACTGATTTAACCACATTTTGCATATTTTTTTCTAGTTGTTACATTCTCATTTCTTCAGTTGGTCTGAGGGGATTTTATCTCTTTGGGGGTGTGGTTTATATTTCCTCAGGAGAGGCGGTGATATTTTTGAGAAAGCCCCACACTGGTAACAAACTCTTCACAAGGCTTTATGTCAGTTTGGTGGCAGCTGTGACCAAAAGTGTAATAAAAATCAACTGAACGTTTTATTCAAATGTGTTTTTCCAACAGTGGTGAGTGAACAAAGGTTGAGTTAATCTGTTATACAATATCTAGGACAGGAATTTCTATCCAGGATAAAAGTATGCTTTGTCTCATTTCACTTGAACTTCCCATTCCATTCATCTTTCCATGTTGAATAATGCTCTGATGCTAACATTAGTAACTTTTTAGTTAGCTTTTTCTTTGAGGCAACATAATCGTTTGTTTTCCATGGCGTTTACCATCAAGTATGCCATCTTGGATGACTCTCTGCCCTGTAATATTCATCTACTCTCTGCATAGCAAGCCATTCACCTACGTAGAACTATTTTTTTGTTTGTTTGTTTGTTTGTTTTTTATGTGGAGTGTTGCTCTGTTACCCAGGTTAGGGTGCAGTGGCATGATCTTGGCTCACTGCAACCTCCGTCTCCCGGGTTCAAGCAATCTCCTGCTTCAGCCTCCTGAGTAGCTGGGATTACAGACACACACCACCATGCCCAGCTAATTTTTGTATTTTTAGTGGAGACACAGTTTTACCATGTTGGCCAGGCTGGTCTCAAACTCCTGATCTTTTGATATACCCGCCTAGGCCTCCCAAAGTGTTGGGGTTACAGGTGTGAGCCACCACGCCCAACCAGAACTTGTTTTAATGCTTAGTTTCACTGTTTCCATTCTGACTGGCAAAATTTTCATACTATGTGTTATTGTCCTCCCCATTTGACATCTCTAGTCCTCATGCATTACAAAGTCTCTGCATTCGGCAGAGGTTTTAGCATTCAACATTTCTCTCTGTTCCCAGTTTTTCTTTCTTAATCAACAAAATAGCAGGATATCTACCCTCTGCTTCTTTGTTCATCCTAGAAAGTAGGAGGGCTAGAGTTACCCAGAAAACTTGAGTCTATTGTATTTTTTGAGATGATATTTTTAATAAATTCTTCTTTTTTTTCTTCTCTCCCTCCCTCCCTCCCTCCTTTCCTTCCTTCTCTCCCTCACTCCCTCCCTCCCCTCCCCACTTTCTTGCCCTGCTGTCATATCTTTCATGCATTATTTAAATATCTTCCAATCCACGTATTTTCATATTTTGCACATCAGCCACAGTGACTTTTTTTAAAATGAGAAATCTGACCACATGACCACATATGTCCCCAACTTAAAGTACTTGAATGACTTCTCACTGCCTAAGAAAATTAAGCTCAGACTCCTCATCTGACATATAAGCTCCATTATACTGTGTCTCTTGTGTGACCTTTCATAGCTATACCAGCCACCCCTGAGATTCTCCTGGTCTCTGAATGGGACCCCCTTGACTTTAGTGCCTGGCTTTTCCCTTTGCTAAATGTCATACTCCATTCCCTTCCCCTGTCTCTCTGTCTTCTCACTTCTTTTTCCTGCATATCTTCCCATGGGCATATTGCCACATCACACTTGCTTTGAGAGCAGTCTCTGCACACTCTCAGGCTAGATTCCAGCATGGGTGTTCCACTTACTAGTTTTGGGCCTTGAACAAGTTATCCCACCTCTCAGTGCTTTCATTTCCTCATCTGTGAAACAGGATATTACTAGCTCACCTTACCAGGTTGTTGTGAAAACTAAATGAACAAACCATATAAAGAATTTATTATATGAGTATGTAATAAATTATTATGACTAAATCCATAACTCTTCACAACACATTAATATCACATTTTTAGTCAGCTTAAGAGTATTAAAAAGGCAAACCTTTTGTGATGAAAGATCATAAATAGAAGAAAGCATTCCAAAGCTAAATATAAATGATTTGAGGTTTACCAATTAACTAGGATCGGTCATTTTCTGTTCTCTTTCATTGATTAGGATAATCAACACATAGTTTTTGAAATTCAAGATTAAAATAAAATGGATTAAAATTACTGAATACCTGTATTGGAAAGGAAGAATGGAATATAACAGTAGGCATCACATAATTACTCAATTGCTTTTCTAATCTCAGTTAAATGCTTTATTGGGATATTATCAAGATTTTAAAATTTCAAGATGATTCTTCTTTTCTGTTTTAGGAGATTAGGAGGTTGGACATTTGACATTGTACAAACTCCGATGATTCATATAGATATTGTACTACTTAACCTAGGTATACCAATGACTGTGCTATTTCCAGGATAAATCACTTGGGTTTGAAGTTTGAAGCAGTACCTAGAGTCTGATCCTGAGTCATACTTAGGATCTCAGGAGACTCTGATGAACAGGAAAAAGTAGGTGCTTCCAGCTGCTTTCTGGAATGCTATTTAGATTTCTAGTTGGCTCTAGGGCCAGATCATGCTTCTATTTAAAGCAATGGTCTCAGGCAGCTAGAAGGAGTCCTGTTGCTATGATACCCAAAGGATTTTATAGTTGGGAATACAATGTAAGGGCTTGGATTTGGTGAAGCTATAACTTTAAACAAAAACTGGTTCCATTCTTGAATATCTGTTGGAACGAAGGCAAACCTGAGGAAATGTCAGGTGGAGACCTCCTTGCCCTCCCTAGCAGCCACGGTTAGAGTCTTCCCCAGGGCAGCCTAAATTACTGGCCTCCTCCAAATTGCTCTAGGGGATTAAGAGCTGGTCTCTGTCCATAGACTTTTTGCCCCAAGCAAGACCCTGTTGAAAGTGAAAGGGGTCCAATCATTTCAACAACCCTGGTTTGCCCAGAATGATGGCAGAAATAAGAAATGTTACTGTCAAACTGGATCTGTGGTTATTCTAAAGCTGGAGTTAGGATAAATGGTTAATACCAAAAAAGGGTGAAGAGATTTCATTACAAATGTTTGCTCTCCCCTTCTCTTTGTGTGTCTATTAGTTTGTTTCTCTCTTTCTTGCATATCGATGACTTTCTTCTATCTTATGAAGTTTACATGTAGCTCTCAGAAGACCTATGCAGTAATAAAAATTCCCACATAAAAAAAGAACTTCTCTTCTGTTAAAAGTGTCACTATGATATAAATTACATTATAATAACATCACCTGGTGAGATTGCAATGTTTATGAAGTTCGTGTGTATTGAGATTATTAATAGTCACAATAAAGCACAATAGTTTACATTTCCAGTAAGTACTGTCTATAGATGCATCTACATTTACTGTGGGTCTGAACATGATTTGTTGCTGTTGCTTTGGAGCTTTTCAACTAGAGGCCTATATGTGAGGGGTGAAACCTAAATTTAACTTTGTTTCCTCTCTGTGAAATCTGTTAGTGCATTTTGACAGTTCCTTCATTAGATACATAATTAATGAGGGCCTATGCTATATGCTAAGCCCTGTTAGAGTTGATGTGTGACACAAAAATAAATAAGATGTGGTCTTATACTGAAAGTACTCACTCTCTGCCAAAATATCTTCCTTTGTCTTTTAGTGACAATTGAATCTTAATGTTTATGCTTGGTAGAATCCACTGTTATCTGCAATAAAATATTTATGTCATTGTCAATCTATTTAAATGAAATTTTAACTTTTTTTTTTTTTTATCACTTCTACTCCTGATCATATCCTGGGCATCTTTTCTGTGAAGCTGAGTCATCCAATGGCAGCTATTCCTGAACATGAAGCTCTTGATTCCAAAGAGGTAAATGTAAGATAGGACTGGACATCTAGTTCTCCATTTCTGTGTGATTGTAGAAATAAACCAATCTAATTTTTTTAATGTTAACAAAATTGTGCTTTTATAAAAAAGGAAAGAATTGTTACTAACTGTTCCACTCTGTCGGTCAGAAGGATTTGATAGTGAAGTAAGTAAATTCTTGCTGACTCTCAATGTAGAAGGTAGCACTAGAGTTCCCTGTGTGTGATACCTGGACCAACAAACCAACACCTACCTCGAGTGCCTGTCTTTGTGATTCCCTTTTTGGGTTCATATGTGAAATCACTGTTGTCTTCTTTCTCTAGACGGTAATGGATGTCCTATAATCCATATGGTGTGTTTTCAGGGTCAGACTCACACTATCTCATGATATCTCAGTTTCAGTTCATAGGAAGATGAGTGCTAGGCTTACTGAGCACCACCAACCCCACCTTCCCCAAGTGAATTTTATATATGGCATGCAGCTTTTAGACAAAGGCATATCAGCTCAATCGTAGCCTCTACATTTCATGTAAATGTTTATCTATTTTAATGTTTTGAGCTGATAAATAAAAAGTAAGTTCAAACAACTTTCTTTAAAAAAAAAAATGCTATACCATAGAAACAAAGGCAAAAATTCTGTAAAGACATGTTTTCTTCATGCTTTGCTTTTGTATTTATCAAGAGCAAGAATAACTGAAGGTGTTTTCTTCTTCTACATCCTCTCAGATAAAGTGGAAAATGGGAGAAAAAAAGTGATTTTAAAAAACTTGTCTCTGAGAAGGGCCTGGGTGAGCTCACACATTCATTTAAAATACCCTTACAAAAGAAGTATGCTTAATTTGCAGCCTCCAAGTTTAGGAAGAAACAAGCATAACATAAAAGAGAAGTAAGAATAATAAAATTCCACGTATAATTTGAATTTTCTTTTCCAAGCCATATTTTCCACAATTTAAGGCATATTATCTACTTTTCCTAAATTGGCATCCCTATTTCTGCAAATTTAAAAAGCTCTGTCATAATATAAGACTGATGTGGCTTTTGGCTGTAACATTAGTCATTAAAATATAAAGTTGTGTTATGAATAGGTATGCATTTATATCATTGACCGCATCTCTGGTTACTTTTTAAGATAATATTGTAAAAATAGGATTATTGGTTTTATGAATATAAACATATGGAAGACTCTCAACACATGTGGCCAAATTGCTGTTCTGGAAAATTGTAGTAATTTACCCTATGAGGAGTGTGTTCTAAAAATATCTGCCTCCATGTAGTCTTGGCAGCATTGAGAATTACTATAATTCCCAATCTATTGAGAGGTTACTATACATTACAAACAGTGTTATGCACTTTGTTTTACTTTATTTTCATAAAACATTCTTAAGTTAAGTACTATTATTATCTTTTTTAGAGATGAGGAAACTAAAGCTGCAGGAACTTAATCTATTGCCTAAAGTCAAATAGCTACAAAGTGTCTCCACAATCAGAAATTGAATCCAAATCTGACAGCCTGCAGTCTGTGCTTCTTGGGCACTCTATTATTTTCTGTCTAGTGTCTAAATTAATCTAAATTAGGATTTTTAATTAGATAAATATATTTATTCAAATTTCTCTATTTTTAATTTATATTTCTATCTATATGATCTAATTCTTTCTCTTTTAAAATCACCTTTTAAAATACTTGCCAAATTAAAAGGGAAAGTTACTTTTTAATATTAACTTGCGTGTTAAAATTCTGTATTTCTTCTGTTATTTTTGTCTTTATTTTTTATCTATTTTGTTTTTGCACTATCTTATGCATTTATTGGTATGGTGATATATTTTGTTGAGTAGTAAACTCCCTTTTTATATATTAAAGTTAATAACTTTTTGTCAAATGTGTTAGCTCTTTCAGTATGATGGTGACAAATTGTATACTAGTGAAAATTTAGAAAAATATATATGTTCAGAAATAGAAGAATCATTAAATAAATTTTGCACATTTCAGATGAATATAAAAAATAGGAAACTTTGTATTTCTTTCAAATACAATAATTTTGGTTCAAGTTCACATAGGCTATATCTATACAATAAGAGTGTTTCTACACAAAAAAAAGAGAAAATCAATTGGTTATTAAATTACAAAAACAGCCAGTTCGGATAACAAATTGAGAACTACTGAATGTTAGGTAATGCAAAAGACTTTGTGAGCCAAAGAGAATGGTATAGATGTAGTATTTGCATTTTTTTACACCGATTATCACAACCCTTGAGACAAAACTTAAAATTAAGATAGTGGATAAGATTGCCATAAAATGATTTTGATTCAGGTTTGGAATATATGAAAAGTGTCATTTACAGTTTGAACTTTAACTTTGTGAGAGAAGACTCTCAACACATATAGCCAAATTGCTGTTCTGGAAAATTGTAGTAATTTACCCTATGAGGAGTGTGTTCTGATAATATCTGCCTCCATGCAGTCTTGGCAGCATTGAGAATTATTATAATTCCCAATCTATTGAGAGGTTACTATGCATTACAAACAGTGTTATGCACTTTGTTTTACTTAATTTTCATAAAACATTCTTAAGTTAAGTACTATTGTTATTCTTTTTAGAGATGAGGAAACTAAAGCTGCAGGAACTTAATCTATTGCCTAAAGTCAAATAGCTAGGATGTTTAACTTTGTGAGAAATAGTCGTAAAAAAATATAAATAATTAAGCAAAAGGCCATTTTGTGCTTCCAGTGTGCTGTATTTTACTTCTTAGTAATATCGGCACATTTTGGAGCAATTTAGCAACTTTTTACAACTTCTTATGATATGTGGTCAGACTTGTATTGACCCGGATATTCTCCCCAAATCTTTTCTCTGGTGTTATTTATTTACCTTCAACCACAACCAAGAAACATCAGTTTTATAAAGCAATTCTGTTCTTATGAGTATATGACCTAAAGGAATAAACCATTTCAGTTACAAACACAGTGCAAATAAAGAATTATGGAAGAGCCCTTGATGGTATCTCAGAATTTTCCCCTTGGTTTTTCTTTCATTTCCTAAAGACATTAGTTTGTCTTGCTTACTACCAGATTGTCATTTCTTGAATCAACTCAGCCTATTTGTAGATACTACCTTTTTAAAATTAACTCAGTAATTCATTTAAATACAAACAGATGTTAGATATATCTGATTTGACTTACCTATCATTTTTATAACTCATCATTTCTAAAGTTCATTTAAAAGGAACGAACTCAAAAAACAAACAAACAAAAAAGCAATTCCACTTATCATCTAGCTCAGTGGTTCTCAACCCGGGCTGAACATTACAATCACCTGTAATTGACTTTTGAAACACACCAATGACAAATATACTTCCTTGTCATATGACAGGGATCCACTCCAGACAAATTAATAAATCAAGAAACTTTACAGGTGACAAAGGTATTGGTATGTTTTAAAATCTCTTCAGATTATTCAAATATGCACCAAAGGTTGAGATCTTCAAATTATAGCCCCTTCATTGGCAGTCTAGGAAGGCCAATCAAATAAATCGGTCATTCAACCCTGAAAACACAAAATAGAAAGTAAAAGTAGGAGGATCATGAAAGAATATGTTCCAGTGAATGATTTCAATTACTGAAAACTGGGCTGACAACAAATTCCTGTCCAATGGCTTAAAGGAATAACATGTGCTTTAATTTGTGGTAGATTAATTTTGAGAGATCTGTTCTATGTTGAGATTCACTGTAATTTCATTAGCAAAATTTAATACTTTATTTTTGTTTGCCTTCACATTCCATACAAGGTTTGGAAATTGCTTAGGATGGGTCTGGCATAGTATTTGGTGCAAGCTGAGTCTGGAGGCTTAGTGCATTCCAAACAATGTTTTATTTGTACTTTATATAACACTTAAAATACATGGTCACTGATGAACCTCCATACAAGCAGATGAGATCTGTAAATAATTGATTTGACCATTGTATCATCTAACTGATTTTCAAAGAAGAATACTTTCAGAGATTTTTACTGTTCACACCAGTGCAGTAATTTCTAAGTAAGTGAATATTTAACACCATACAGGCAGAGCATACTCGTTGACTAAGATAAATGATTTCTGAGTTGAGTTACTTAGGAGAAAATTAAATTCTAGTAGTGACAATTTTTTTTTATTGTATTTCTCATCTTGTGAGTTCAGCAACTCTTTTATCCACAACAACTCCATAACCTGCTTCTCCTTCTGCAGACTTATTTGTGAATGTCATACTGCAGAATAAGATATAAACAGACTGCCCCTCTTTGTATTACCTGCTACATACAGCCCTATGACTCCTGCATTTTATTTAAAAATTGAAGATCAATTGATTTCCCAAAACATGATTAGATTCATTTGGTTCTGACCTTTCAGGTTCATTTGTTATTAACACAACTTAAGAGCTAATCATTCACTAGCTGCTCATAAAACACATACTAGGCAAATTCTTGTCTTTTCTTATTCCTTCTCTTTGCAGATTTTTGATAAACATTTAAGGGTTTACAAGATAACAGTTCTGTTAGCGAGGTGACTATCACTCATTTGCCACTTTGGTGGTATATAAGCTTTCTGAGTTTATTTTATTTTGAATTTCAGAACCTCCACTGATGTCTAAGGTTCTAATAGTATAAAGCAGCCATGCTATTCCTCTGACTTTATTCTCCGGGTGGGAACATAGAAAAGAGAAAATAAATTACTTGCCCGTGGAAGCCACTCTCATTTTCTGGTTTGATTTAAGGGTAAAAATAAAATTATCAAGAGAAAAAGGCCCACTCTCTTCTTTTCAGGCAATTTTCCAAAACATTATTTCTCAAAATGAAGCTTTGATACAACTTGGATTGCTGAGAGTTGAAGGTTGTAATCTCAGGCAAGAATTTGGAATCTGGATATTATTACCAGTATAATAATGATTAAAAGAAGATTCCTATGCATTGATACACAAATGGCTACAGGGCCAGGGTAACTTTGTCTTATAAAAATAAAGACACCTGATACAGGTACCTGAGTAGATAACCACCTTTCCCAGGCATCAGGTGGTCAGGGAAATAATAAAGGAAAGGATATTCCTATATCCAGATTTGGTAGCAATGGATCCATCAAAATGATTTTCTTGTGTTGTAAGCCTCCAACCTGTGTTGAGGAAATGTAATTTAAAAACAAAACAAAACAAAACCTTTCTTCTAACCCAGAAGTTCCCTTCACAAGGGTAGTAGAGAAATAAAACCCTTTTTGTTATTGAATAAACATTGAACCAGAATGTGATGTGCATCATAGGCAATCTGCTAAGAGATTGCAGACAAGAAGAAATCTCAGACTTCATATCACCAAGGAGATAGACCCCATTACATACATATTCTCAAGATCAACAATAGTTAAGTGGGTCCTCAAGTAAGAAAAAATGAAAGTATCATTAATTATACATAGTTCATCCTAAATTCACCTGAAATTTGGGATGACAATCTGTGTCTGGCTTTACACAAGGCAAAGTAAACTTCGCATATCTTTACGACATGGGGTCATTGTATAACTTCGAGCCGGGCTTGAGCTAAAGTTAGAGTCTTACCCTCCCTGGAAACTGGCAGATAGGGATGCCATCTTTCTTGTCTGTTTACATTTAAAGGAGATGGTTCTCGAGTCCTTGAAAGAAACTTTTCAGGGCCTGACAAAGGGCCCACCTGTTTTCAAAAGAACTTATATACATTTCAAAGAGAGGAGAAAGTACTTACAATGATGAGTTTTCTAAAGTAAATGCTTTAAGAAAAAGAAGGGAGAGGGAAATCTCTCCCGTTATGCTCAGTAGCAAGAATTAAGCCTTTCTTTTTGAATTTCCAATTGTTCTTACACTTGGTTGGCAAGAACCAGAATTAAAATCAGGGAGAGTCTGGCTCAGAAGTAGCCAATAAAAAGAAACAGCTCTCATTTATTTTTCATTTCTAGAAACTCAGTTAAATCTACTATAGAAGTGGGTGTTTGACAATTTTGGGGTCTCTCCTTCAAAGTCATCTCAATAGATTCAAGTTAGGTTTGATACTGTAGTGAGTCATTGTCAAGTTGAGCAGAAGTCAGGAACTAAAAGGACCTACGACTCCTCTGTGTGGTGGCTTGGGAAGACTATTTCTAGTTTCCAAGAGAAACAAACAAAACAATAAGGTCAGGGTTAATAATTATTTGGAACTCACATCATCCAGACGTCACATGGTTTTGACCCCAGATTCAACATTGTACTCTCTAGAATCCATTGTACCTGCATCCTTTATCTATGAGGTTGCCTTTAGAGGACCTTAATTACTGAACGTTTTATACCTTCTGGCTTATGGATAATAAACTCTGATACCAGATTTTGTCTTTTTTTCACCAAAGTCAATAGTTACATAATGCACAAAACATTTGAAATCTTTCAGGAAAAAAAATGAACATGCAGCATTTAATCATATTATGATACACATTTCTTGAAAATGGCTTTTCGTTCTCAATACATGCATCCTGATTTTATATTCACAAGAACACATATGTAGGTTATTTTGTTTTCATTTTGCAGTAAAGAATATGCATATTTGGTTTTGCTTTTAATGGGAATGAAAAACCAACTCACACAGCACATTCCTTTAAAAAATGCTTTCTGTAACATTGGCTTAATGTTTCACAAGAATATATTACTTATTACCCACAGTTAACTCTGAATTTAAAAAAAAAAAACAAACAAGATTTTGAGTTTGACTGTGTTCCAGGATTATGACTTCCAAAGCATCTTAAGTTCTTTCTTACTTATATTTTCTTATATCCAAAATAAGTGTGTTGTTTCATTGGCAATACAATAAAATACTGAGCCTTAACTGCCAGGGTGCTAGTTTGAAAATAGAATTGATGTATTTGTTGATGATTCTCACTTTTCTTACATGTCCACCTTTGTTATTCCCAAGATTTTTTTTTTTTTTTAAACTCTTTACTTATACTGAGATTGGCAAAAAAAAAAAAAAAAAAAAAAAAAAAAACAAAAAAAACAAACAAACAAACAAAAAAACCACGTAAAAACTTCACAAAGTGTCTAAAATGATGGCTGTAGCTGTCATAGCATAGTACATCTTTTCCAACTGACTGCTAAATTGTGGGGCCAAACATTTATTTGATGTGCTGGTGGGTTCGGGAAGAGCTGAGACATAGTGCTAAACTTGCCAGCATGGTGTCAGAAGATGATCTGCCTATGGTGCTTCAATCTGATTTAATGATTCCTATTATAATAAAATTTTAAATTCGAGAGGGAACTTAGAAGGCATTTATTCCAATATTTTATTTAATGTTATAATCCCATCTACGTAATATATGCTCATATATCTTCTATTGAACCTCTCCTGGTAACAGAGTTCACCATTTCACAACCCAGACTCAGTGTATGTTTTAGTTTGACTAAGACAAACTAAGTAATGGCTATGTGAACAACAAAAGCAAATAGAAAGCATGAAATAAACTGGGGCTTAATTTGGAGCACTATGACCTTGGGTGTGATATTGAATCTTTCTGAGCTTCAATTTTATTCTTTGTAAAATGGAATCTAATGATTGTGAAGATCTGCCTAAATGTATGTAAAGTGCTTAGCATATAAAATACATGGCACTTAAAAAGTATTAGCCAAATGATGATAATTTCCTTAAACCTCTTGTAAAATTAACTACTACTAAATGCTGGTACTTTAAGAAAAATTATGTTGGTGCTTTCAGAAAAAGCAAAATAATGGTAATTTTTATTTGTTAGAAATATTAATGAGGAGATGTACTTGAATCATTTCCTCCCTTCATTCTAGGGCTTCAGAGAATTTTAGATGATGAAAGCTACAGTTTACTTCTTACTTTTTTGCCTGTTGATTTTCTATGGCCAGAACAAACCAGAGCAGTCATGAGCCACCCCCTTTGTTAGTGGTTTTTATCTGTCTCCTTCTTCTAGTCTAAAATGTACTTTCTCCTAATAATGCAGATTGTAACCACGTTTCACAATCCTGTTTAGCTGCTTGGCCAAGACATACGCTTGCACATAGGAGCCAACTCTAAGTCACCACTGCTTCTTTACCTCATGATCTGGCTGAGGGCAAAGCACAGACAGTTGCCTGTAGAAAGGCTCCCATATTAGTCATGAGTTGGAACCTGGAAATAGAAAGTTCTGGTCAGTTCCTCCATTGGTGTTATTCCATCACATTGTTCTATCAGTTATGTCTTAGAACTAAATTTATCTTCTTGCTTCATCTCTAATGCTTTCTTTTATGCTTTCTTTTGTATAATCTGCCTTCACAATTGCCAGTAGCCATCTTCCACTCAATTAGGTTTATCTTATCTGTTCCAGACGGTCCAAACCTATCACATAGGAACAGAGAGATTGAATGGGTAAAGAAATTATTGGAATCACTCCTCTACCACATAGCAAAATTGTAAGATCAAGCAAATCAATATGTGAAAAAAAGCAAGAGGTTATTTGGTCTTGGTCTTTTGTAATTTTCCCTTTTGCAAAAGCTGGGACTTAATTCAATCCCTATTCACTTAACCTCCTTGTTAGATGATGCATTTTAGGGAATGATGCAGTCAATGCTAAAGTGAAGTTAGGTCATCAGTCAAGTAATGGAAGGGTGAGGGTGTGGGTGAGATATAGCAGTGCTGTTTCTTAAGGCAGCCCCAGCCCCTCAAAACCATCATGGTACTTTGTAGGAGGCCGGAACTGCTCTGCTGAACTGTCAAGAGATTGGAGTCTGATGTAAAGGTACAGCTGTGTGTCTTTATTATGCCATTAATAGTGAAACAAGGAAGGATCTACTTAAGGAATAAAAATAAGCTTTTCCTATTGTAATATAAACTATGTTTTTTGTAGGAGATGCTATGACCAAATATTAATGTATAATTTTCAGGTGTATTTTTTAACATTTATTCATCTTAACCTGACTACTGTATTCTCTTATTTTACAGTAATGAAGTTGGAGCAGAGGCTGAAAACACAGGCTGCTGAAGTTTTTTGGAATGCTGGTGCTAACCACTTGCTAGATTTAACTTTTTTTTCCCCCCAGAATTAGTGCTCCCTTTATGAGCTGCAGTGCAGCAGAACCAAAAAAAAAGTTTGCTGCAGTTATATAGCATCACAGTGCTCTGCTAACAGCCAGCATAGGAGAGATTTACCTACAGCTTTTTGCACCACTGTTCAAGCCTTTAATGCCTTCTACTTAATATTAAGCTGACAGCAATACTAACGTGCCCCTATATTTAGCAGCCAAATAAAGAAGAATCATGGGTAAATAGGAGAATGGCTGTGACTATTTTTCAATACGTATTTTATTTAATGCATACATTACTAACTGCGTCAGGTTTTTATTCCCCTTTTTCTTAACTTTTTTACATGAAAATAATCACAACTTTTAAAGTAACTAATTAGCTTTCAGAAGATGCTGATATTCAGAGGTTCACTGGTGAGATCTTGAACATGAGATAGTTGGTATTGTGTATGACACACATTAGTTTCCTGTTCTGTTGGGGTTTGGTGCTGCTGGGACAGACTGTGTGCCAAAAGCAGCCCAGTTCTGATGAACATCATGTTACTGGAGTGCCTGGGATACCATTGTCTCTCTGCCTGTCACCACATGATTCTTGTGAAGACTACTTTAGAGTTGGTTTGTATAAAAAATTCTGAGAGCAGCAGAGACCATAGAGCAAACCCATACTTGATGACAGTCCTGAGAGCCCCCTAGAGGCACACCGTGTGTCCATCATGTTGGCCATCTTCTATTTATTTCCTAGTTGTCATCCCCAGCAGTCTGTCTTAGCGCCCTCTGAGTGATTTCCTTCTGCTCATCTGGGAAGCCCAAGATAACACACATTAAGAAAGAACAGCAGTCTGGACAGTGAGCCCTGATGGTAAAGAAGTCTTGGGAAAACCTGCTTCATTCACTCTGCACATTGTCCATGTTCTTGGTGGAGCCAGCTGTGAGCTACGGTGTCCCTAAACCAAGCTTCCTCACCCAATCCCATCATCCAAACCCAAGAAGGGAGAGTGACCTATAGAGGAGCAGCTACGCTCCTTCATTCTCCAATAGCCATTTTAGAATGTTCCACTTTCAGCTATTATTTGACAACTGGAAATATAAACTTCTCAGTGTCTCCTTTGTTGGTGTTAGACAAGCAAAGGAGACTCAATAAAGCCATCTGCTCATCTCTCCTTACCCCAGCAGAAACCATTTCTCCATTAACCTGCTAAATTGTGTGAAGCATCACTTTAGATTACTAATAATGATCTCTAACATTCACTGTGCTCTTATTATGAGCAATGCACCACACCAAGAGCTTTACATGAATTTAATTTAACCTCCACAATGGACCTGTGAGGTTGGTAATATTATTATCCATATTTTATTTTTGTGAGAACAGCTTCCTCCAAGTGGTTAAATTAAGCTAGTAAGTGGCAGCAGCAGAATTCAAGTCCAAGTAATCTGATTCTAAGATGAAGCCATTTACTTAATCATTTGTGTAGTCATTTATGCCATCATTTTTGGATCTCCAGTGTAAAAGGGTGACATGATTACACTCCTCAGCTCATGGCAGATTTCGATCATAAATTTGGGCAAGCCCTCCCTTATGTATGCTTGTTGATTAATGATCATCATTTATAATAATTTCCATCTTCCCTTCCCTGCTGTAGGCACATATCAGGGAACCAGCCCCCAATATTTCAATGTAGGTTCTTTTCTATTTTCCCCAACTGTCAGCTGGTATGAGAAATAAAGAGAAAGAGCACAAAAGAAAGAAATTTTACAGCTGGGTCTCCCGAGGTGACATCAGGTGTCAGCAGGTTCTGTGATGCCCCCGAGCCTCAAAACCAGCAAGTTTTTATTAGCGATTTTCAAAGGGGAGGGAGTGTATGAATAGGGTGTGGGTCACAGAAATCACATGCTTCAAAGGCAATCAAATATTACAAGGCAAATGGGGGCAGAGCAAGATCACAAGGCCAGGATGAAATTAGAATTACTAATGAGGTTCCATGTCCCACTGTGCATGCATTGTCATTGATAAACACCTTAACAGGAAACAGGGTCCAAGAGCAGAGAACTGGTCTGACTAGAATTCAGGCTGGAATTTCCTAATCCTAGCAAGCTGCAGGAGACCAGGGCGTATTTTATCACTTATCTTCAACTACATAAGACAGACACTCCCAGAGCGGCCATTTTAGAGGCCTCCCCCTGGGAATGCATTCTTTTCCCAGGGCTATTCCTTGCTGAGAAAAAGAATTCAGTGATATTTCTCCTATTCACTTTCACAAGAAGAGAAATATGACTCTGTTCTTCTGCCCGGCCATGCAGGCAGTCAGACTTTATGGTTATCTCCCTTGTTCCCTGAAAATCGCTGTTATCCTATTCTTTTCAAGGTGCCCAAATTTCATATTGTTCAAACACACATGCTTTACAAACAATTTGTGCAGATAACGCAATCATCACAGGGTCCTGAGGTGACATACATCCTCAGCTTACAAAGATGACAGGATTAAGAGATCAAAGTAAAGACAGGCATAGGAAATTATAAGAGTATTGACTGTGGAAGTGATAAATGTCCATGAAATCTTCACAATTTATGTTCCGAGATTGCAGTAAAGACAGGTGTAAGAAATTATAAAAGTATTAATTTAGGGTACTAATAAATGTCCATGAAATCTTCACAATTTATATTCTTCTGCCATGGCTTCAGCTGGTCCCTCCATTTGGGTTCTCTGACTTCCCACAACAGGCACACATTCTTATTTATTTAATGTGTATCTTTTGCTCATATATGTTTTGAAGATGTACACTGTTTTGTCTGCATACATACTTAATAAATGTAAATGGTAATGTTTATATTCTGTTTTTTTTTCCCACTCAGCTCTGTTTTTAAAGCTTTATACACATTGCTCTATAGACATATATTATATTGTGTTCTCACAACTGCGTGGTGGAGTCTCATCACATTTTACTTATCTACCTGCCCAGGCTTGGTCTCTCAGGTTGCCTTCCTGTACCAAGTGTTGTGATGCACATTCTTGCATGTGGCCCCTTGTGGAGCTTTGTGAGAATTTCTCTGGAATATATACAAAAGACTAGAATTGTTTAATTCTAAAGTTCCCATGTACTTAATTTGATGAACTCCTTTCAGATTGCTTTCTAGAATAACTGCACCAATTTTTATTCCCATCAGCAATGCATTAGGTCTCTTATATCCCCAAGTATCTCTCCACCTTTGAAGGTCTGAGCTTTGAAACATTAGGCTCCAATGTCATTGGAGGCAACTTTTAAAATGGGAAGGTTGTTTGATGTGGTGTCCTATTCATCCTATATTTTCTAATTCTCTAAGACTTTTATACTCTTTAACTCATAGCAATTTTCAGTCAAGTATTATATTCATTTCATTTGTCAACCTAAATAACAGAGAGAGGTCCCTAAAAGAAAAAGAAATTTATTTGGGAATAGAGTATTGCAATGGGTATATATATGCTATAGTAAACCATTTGCATGCATATTAAGGGAGGTAAAGGACAACAAAGATTTTGAAATGAAAAAATGAGGAGAATTACATGATAATTTTGAAATAATTATCCTTAGCTACAAATATCAGTAACAACGGTGACACTAGTTCAAGATTGGATAGGCAGTTGCTGTCCTTGTAGAAATATTTTTTTTGTATAAGGTTTCCATGGCTTTTTCACAAGGTTGTGATGTTGTATAGTTTTCTGTAATAGCTTTTATCAGGCATAGTAGCAGGAGAACCCTCTCTTCATGGCCATTTCTGGCTCTGTCAGATTTTTGTTTTTAATTGTTTGTGGCTCCATTTTGATTCTGAAACTTTTACATGTTGCTGAAACATTTGAGCCCAACAGGTTATTTGACTGAGGTCACCAAATTAGTAAATGACAAACCTAGCACAAGGTCTTTTGATTTACCTACTCTGTTATTTCTACAAATTGCTGCATCTGAACATCATGGTCTAATTTATTTGCTTAGTTTCTCAGTAAAGAACAGAGTCTTTATGTTGATTGTGTGGAGAACATGGAACATGAATTAGTGATTTTTCAGGTTGGTGAGCAGTGCATTCAGTGCACTAAGGAGGCACTTGGGGGCACTATGTATGTTTCTGAAGAGGAAGGAGATAAGGACAGATGATGTGGAATTGCCAGGTACTGAGACTGAATCTTTATTTGGGTTCTCCCAGAAGTGAACTCTAAGGCAAGGATTTAGTATAAGTAGTTTATTTGGGAGATGATCATCAGAAACACTGATAAGGAAGTGAGGAAGTAAGCTAGGGAAGCCAGTTATTACATTGGGCAACTACTGTAGTTTATTTCCGCTAAGAAATTTGAGGACACAAGGCTGAACAGTCCTCAGACTTCATTCAATTTAGAGGAAAGGAAACTGGAGTAGTAATTCTAAAGCCTGACTATTAACCTTTCCGTGACTATGGCTGTGACTTCCTTCTTTATAGAGCTTTTGTTTTTTTCGGACTTTTTATTACACATCACCAGTGGGACCCATTCTTTTCTTGTGAAATTTTAATTTGGTGAAAATGGAAGGTCTTTTGAATATTGTTCTTCCTAGTCTCTGAAGTAAAGTGCAGAAACAAAGAGATAATTGAAAGCTTAAGTAACAAGGGAATATTCTCAGAATATTCTCAGAATTTATCTATTGGGCAAGCAGAAAAATCTGCAATTAGGACAGGGAACAAAAATTCTACTTTAACTAGACTGCTGCAGATTTCTACATGTGAATCAATTAGAAATTAAATCAACGGTGTGAGATGATAACTTGATTTATAAGAAAAGATTGTTTTGCTTAGAGTAAATTCAGAGGTCTTAGAATAATCAACTAGTAGTTAGAAAATATTTCTGGATTTGTTTAAAATATATAGTACATTTGGGGGAAATTTCATATTTTCCTGTGGTAGGTTGTAAAATTAAATGTTATATTCCCTTCATACTTTAAAATGTATTATTTTCAATTTATCTGACTAGAAATAGGTTTTTCTCTTCATTTTATAGTTTAATAAAAAGGCTTTCATTTCTTATAAAAGTTTTCTAACAGATGTATATGCAATTGCTCAACATCACTTAAGCACCTGAGTCCATATTTTCCTTAATTGGAAACTCTGGGGATAAATTCGAAAAATAAACCCACACAACAGGCAGAGGAAGACTCATAAATGCTAAAAAAAGAGAAGGAAAATAAAAAAGACAAATTTTTTCAGGGGGCTATAGATTGTGATTTAAAAACACTGAAGAGAATATCTAA